TATATACTATTCCTATCCAAATCAAGATTTAACCAACATTCGAAATGTGCTAATATTTCTAAATCAAATTCCAAATAATATTTTGTGGTAATAATAGTTTTATCAATATAAAAAAATCGGACAATTTGAAATAAATCCCTACCCAAATTTTCATATTTATATTCAGTCCCCACACATTATTTATGTATAATGCACTTCCTTCTTTTAAAAACTTATTCCTGTTAACTCCCTACCACTATCTCATTTCCAATTTTGCCCTCATCTCTCCCCCAAAATCTAATTTATCAATTTTGTTTTTCTCCACTGTTAGGTATTTTCGAGCAAAGAAGACGTGTTCAATGTTCGGTTTACTTGCGCAAAGATTCTGCGATCGATGAAGAATACAAATCCCAATATTTAGGTTTATCTCACTCAAGAAAGAAACGGGTAAGATAGAGGTTCGATTTTTCGGATGTTCTTTTGGTGTGATAATTTTGTTGGTTGATTAAGGAGGTGTTGTTAGGGCTTACAATCGATCCCACTCACATTTAGTTGAAAACAAAGACAAAGACCAGAATTCAAGTATGATTGATAATCTTCACTATTATTTGATATTATAAATAGCTATATTCTTGAAATTTTTTTTATGGTCGATTGATGTTCTTGTTTGGTTCTTAGAGATATTTAATTTCTTTTTATTTATGGTTGCAATAGTTGTTAATTTTACATTCATTATGATTTTACTCATCTATGAACCTCAAAATTTATTTCATGTACTTGTATATTGGATAACATTAAAATCTCATTGTTATGCAGCGGTGACTATCGAATATGATGAAAATTGGGAATGGTTTTGTTGCATGTTAAGGTTTATTTTTCACATTGATGGTCGATATAATTAGAGAGAATATGGTTATTTATTTGTATAGGCACTCGGTATTATTAAAGTCCAACCTCGTCGTATTTTCCAAAATTCACCCTGCATACTGTTTCTGGCATCTAGTGGACAACTTCCGCACTCAGGTATGTATATAATATATGTGTCATTTATTATGATGTATACATCGAGATAATTAATTTTCTAATAGGTAATATCGAGATACCCGATGCACAATAAGAAGCGATGGACATCTGTTTTCAACAAAGCCAGTTATGCCCCCTTACGGAAGGATTTTGAGCAGTATATAACGTCTGTTGTAGAGGCCATGACACTTGTTTGAAATTTTATTGCACAATCGCAGCCTCAATGTTAGGCGAATTCTCTATTTCAAGGGTCTCATTGGGGAATAATAAATAACGATATAGCCGAGTCTTGGAATAGTTGGGTGTACACAGTAAGGTCATTGACTAAATAATATGGTCGGTGTGGTCATCTAAGATACAATTGAAGAAGTTGTAATGAGGCTTTATTCTGGGTAATTATGGTGTGTTTCTCGTGGCTGTAATTTTTTTTCTAGAAGATTGCATATTGTACGTATATTTGTGTATGAGATCACTATTAAATTATTTGAAAATTAAATGATATTCCTAGTATATTACTGAGTGTACACAACTATTATGATGGCGTACATATCAATCAAAACCAATTTTTTTTCCATTGTATAAAATAAGGGTATATGAATTTACAACGAAAGTATATTGTATGTTATTATAATTATATAAAATATGACTAGGAGTAATAATTATTAACAACGATAGTACATTACATAGGGATATTTACTTATTAAATTCTACGTAATCCTTAAGGTCTTTTATGTCCCTTAAGTGCTCATTATGGTGTAAAGCGACCCATAATGTACCTCATTGTTTACCTAAAATTACATTAATATAAATCATATTTATTTATAAGGGTATTTAATTTTTTTATCGGCGTTGTTACAATAAAAATATGAGTATGTTTGTATGTGCCTAAGGTATATACATTATAACTAGAGGTGTACGTATTCAATTAAAAGGTTGTGTAATTAGGAATGAAAGCATTCATATTCGTATGCAGGTATAATTTTTGTAAACAATGGTATTAAGTATCTATTGAAAATTTGCCATTGATTATTGTTGGATCAAACAACTATGAGATGGTTTCATTACCCCCACTTTGTCAGATGTTAGTGTTCATCAATGCATATTTCTTAATCGGCCTATGGGATCACCTAACCATATATTCAAAATAGATGAAAATGTCACTTAAGATAAGTATAACACAACATACCATGTAGTGAACTATAGTAATAGATATTTTGAAGTTAATACATAACTGATGATGTATGATATTATTTGTATTATGATTGTGTGTCCAAGCATTTTTGAGAATTGGAAAAAATTTATAACAAGAAGAAATATGTTAAAATATATAGGAAGTAAATGTTATGCATATAACATATTGGATCTTCTCACAACATGAGAAACATATTAGTTATTGATGTATACATTGAGTGTGTCTATTAGTGTTTTCAAAACAATTTTATGAGTACATATTTTCTTATTATACGTCGAATATGCATAAATTTACTTATAAAGCTTATTCATCAGTACGAGTACATTCAATCAATTCAAAAGTACGTAACTTAGTAAAATAAAGGAACGGATATCATCAGCGGAGGTATGTGGCTTAAACTTAAGGGTTTCTTTACACCCAACCATGAAATTTTGCAAATCGAATTATATTAATTACTTATGTACGTATTTGTTTTTCTTGTACATCTATTCACGTGATCCATGTATACAAGTTATGAACATGAGTATATATTAGAAATGTTGACTTACATATTAAGTATACCGAAGTATACATTACCAAATGCAAATACATATAGACAACCTCTTAAAATATTATATGCTAAGTATCCCAATTTGGCAACTACTGCTACAAATCTCAACTATTCTCCAATGCATCCATAAAAAATAACATGTAAATCATACGGAGTTCTTTCTTTTATTTTCTAGTTCCATTTTCAAAATTGATGCACTATCTAAAAATTTTGTTTGTAGTACATAGAGGAGTATGTAAACAAATTAATTAATATAATGTAAATAGTAAAAATATTATAATACAATTACTATCTACAATGATGCATTATCCACAATTACATGTAATCTAAATACTATAGAGAATTGTTTAGGAAAAAAACTTAATTCAGTTTCTTCTCTGATTCTAAATAAATGGGATTCAATGTCAAACATATTAATCATTCCCCGCAACCGACGCTAAGATAGCTTCATTTTGGACAATCAAGAAAATATTCAAACGGGATGAGTTGCACAACTTTCAATTGTTTCTCATTAATGTCAATTTCTAATTTAGCCCTCTTCGTACAGAAAAAAAGGTAAAACAAATATGGAGGTAAACCCTTTGTATTCTTTCTCGAGTCTACAATAATTTAAAACAAAAAGAAATGTTCTTATAAGTATACACAATACCAATTCAAGTTTATAACATAACTGCGAAGGTAAGTAATATTCTTAAAGAGACATGTAAATTAAAACTCAGAGTACACCGAATACAACTAAAGGTATTCACAAACAATATAAAAACAACGAACAAAGTTTTCACTAATCGACAAAATAGATACATTTGCAACCAACACCATCATAGAGATATCGTCAAACACTTTCGGTACTTAAAAAGTCACTCTGCAAGAGAAAATTGTGCCTACAGTTTGAAGAAAATAAGGAATTCCTTATACCCCGATCATTTTACTGCACATGTAAACCTATAAAAATGCAAATGAAGATACTTCTATACTCAATAAGATCATTTTCAATTTTAAAACTATCAAAATAATTCATATTTGATCCGACGGTGCGATACGATGCAAAAATAAAATGGCCCAGCACGAAGGTTGTACAAATCCATCCGAGGCACAAAAAGAATAGGTTAAAGCACACCACGAACTAAAAAATCCAAAATCAAAATATTGATTCTTCGAAAGATATAAACTTTAAATTTTTTATTCAAACTTTATTTTTGGGAGACATTTTCCAAATTTCGAGCAGGATTTGAGATTTCAGCAGCGAGTAATACTTTCAGCAACGACAATGATTTTTGCGGAGGGGTTTGAATGAGATGATTTCCGTAGAGTGCTTCGGAAGCAACGGAGTGAGTGGAAAGAGAAAATTTTAAAAGAAATTAATTCATTTACAACGTAAAATCGTGAGTTTTATCTAAATTTTATTTGTTTTTTTGTTTATATTTCTGTATCTAATCCCAGTATATAAATAAAAACTTCAAGCACATTACTTTGAAATTTTATTTGTACATTGGAATAACTTTGAAGTATGTAAATAGATATTGTAGGTTTATATAAAATTAACAAAAGTACATCAAACATTCATTGCATTATTTCGTAATTTCAGGAGTAAAATGGGTAGTAGAAAGTCAAGTGTAAACAAAATTGAAAAATAGGAAGTGCAGTACTTTGTCTTAATGGAGAGATACTGAATTTAAATCTGTTTTTACATTAGAGAGATTTTAATCTAAATTGCCCTAAAAAATTTCAAATAAAATAGAAATATTATAATGAAAATGTCATATATGAAAAATTATTTTTATAATATAAAAAAATAATATTTTGTATTAAATTATTAAATTTTTATAAGTGAATTAAATATATATTTTATATATTGTGTTAATATATATAGTATTATATTTTATTAATAATATTTATATGAATTTTACTATTAAAATTAATAAATAAACAAATTCAAATAGTTTATTATAAATAAATTATATATAAATTTTAATAGATAAAAAATAATAACATAAACTTTATTGAAATTTGGTGTATTTGTTTTGTATTTTAATTTGAATAATTTTTTTTATATGAAATATAATAAATTTGTAAAAATAATATATTAATAATAAATTATAAAAATAAATGCGTATAGAATATTAATTTATAATAATTTTTTTAAAAAAAATTATGTCAAAAATGGTTCGTTGAAGAAACAAACCTGTACGGCTGTTTTTTTTTTTTTTTTTTTTTTTTAATAAAAGCCGGATATGGTGCAAATTATTAGCCGACCTCTTGCCCTGCCTCTTCCTCTCCAGCTTGATTCGTCGTCTTTTCGTGCTCTGGTTTGGTTTCGTCTCATAGTCCTCGTCGTCTACCTGCCGACATCATCTTACTCTTCTCTATCTTTGCCTTTTGTGTCATTTTCTTTCTCTACCTCGTCTTCCGCCGTCTTCGTCTTCCCATCATCATCATCCTCGTCTTCGTCTTTCTCGTGTAATCCTCACACACCCAACATTCACAAATAGAAATGGAAGTCTGGGAAGGACGTTGCACATTAATAGGGTAGGATTTTTAATTTAGATTGTGGAAAACCATGAATTCAAAATCGCCCTTTTTCTCGTTAAGTCAGCAGAACTGATGAACTAGTAAAGAATTTCGAAATATAGCGCTGAGGTATCTACAATATCGAGAGGCGAAGACAAGCACTCCACCACAAAACTAGTAAGCACCGTCAAACCCTCATCACTGTTCACTCTTTTTTTTTTTTTTTAACCCACACGCTCACACAACCACGCACCCGCACCTTGCCCTCAAACGAGGATGTCTGAGGATGTCTCACCGCTTGATAGGCTTGATTCTATTTACAGCTCTGTTGTGGTGTCCGGGTTATGAAATCTTAATTTATTGACCCTGGTGTGAATTCAAGGGCAATTTGTTGCTGTTTTATTCTGCTGTGTTCGGTGATGTGAGTTGGACGCATGTTAGAAATTGATTGTGTCCGATGCTAACGACCGTCTCACATAAAAGCTCGAATTTTTTGGGAGACTAAGCCATTAGTTATATATCCGCAAACGGGAGTACCCAAAGCGCCCCCTCAGGTGCAAGTGGAGGTATGCTAAACTTGCATATGCATATGTGCACAAATGGGGACGGTGGGACTCGAACTCGAGATCTAAAATAGGCTCTGATACCATGTCGGATGCTAACGACCGTCTCAACAGATTGAAAGTGAAATGGTTGTTATTTCCAAGAACAAGGAAATTTTGGGCAAAAGAAGCTACAAGTGCGGGATTTACTTTGAATTGTTTTGGGATGTGGATGGAGGAAATTAAGGGCAAGTAAGCCGCTAGCTATGCGTATGAAACATCAAGGGTTGCGTTGGTTCATTTGCTTATCTGCGTAACCTCTCTGGGGCTTTGTATGGTGTTTCTAATACTAATGATGTGTGTGATTTGTGAACCAACTTCAATTGTTGTTTACAGTTGAACAAATTTGATTGAAAACCCTGCGGGGCTGATCTTTTCGGACAAGTATTGTGTTACTAGATGAGAATAGCTCGGTACTAAGGTTGTGTTCTCTATAATTGTGTTGGTTTTTAGTTCTTCACATTTAGTCGATGTTTGGCTTGGGATTGGAATTTGAATAAGAAAGCTGAAAGTTGGGATGATACACTACTTAAAACGCTCTATCTTCTCATGTTATTCAAAATCATTCGTATTTGATTATTGATGGTGATGTACTGAACAATAAGTGTGGGTCGAAGTTTTGTGGATTCCTGATTTGTGTACTGTTGCAGCAAATGGTCATTGCTTTTTCCTCCCATGCAATGGGCATTGTTAATGTACACCTTCTTATCTTCGGACTAACATAGTGCCATTTTTTCTTCCAGTGGATGTGGAGAATAGATTGGACAGTGGCAATGGAATGATAGAATCATGTGATGGAATGATTGAATCATCTTTCACAGGGGACTTGACATCATTTGAATCTGACAAACATAGTGGGCCATATGAAGGTATGGTGTTCGACTCAGAGGCTGCTGCTAAGGCATATTATAATGAATATGCTGCAAGGGCAGGCTTTTCGACCCGTGTTTTATCATCCCATAAATCAGAACATGATGGGTCAGTTATTTCACGTGGATTGGGATGTAGAAACAATTCTAATGTTCAGAAATCAGGCAATGTCTGCAGTGATGCAGGCGAAAAACGGGAAGACGGTTGTGCCGCCGTGTTTGTAATAAAGAGAGAGAGTGAAGGGAAGTGGATTGTTCGGAAGTTTGTGCGAGACCATAACCATCCATTGGTAGTTTCATCACCCAAGAGATGGCTAACTTTCGTAAGTACTACTATTCTGTTATCCTTGATTACTATTGCCCCTTTGCAACTATCACTAAGTAAATTGGCTATCATTCTTTGTTCCCTATTTCCATTAGTTGCATTCTTCCTTCCAATTAGGAGCATGATGTGTCTATTATTTGTCTATTTTGGGCTCAAATGGCATATACTGGTTTTTTGCATTTTGATATCTTCAAGTTATATTTACTTATAGATGTTTTATACCCAATCGCTACGTCAACACATATTGCATTTTGATTTTATTGATTGAACATCATATATTTGTCTCTATCTCAAATTATTTATTCTTGCTGATGAGGCCCTTAGGGATTTTGAATATAGAACTACAGCAAAACCTAATAATAGTAATTTTATATACTGTTGAATAGTGAAAAGGCCATTAGTCCATTACTGTGTTCACATGTATATTGTCAAAGCATTTGTAATGACAGCAATTGTGTTAAGACCATTTGCTTCAGCTGGACTTTTGAGAAATATGTTTAAATGTTGATAAATATGCTTGGAAAAGGAAGTATAGCAAACCGACTAGCTGAGAATTGATGGGAAAGAAAAGTATATAACTTTTTGAGCTAGTTACATGAAGTTTATTAACTCACTGATTTCCTAAGATATAAGTTTCCAGCCTAACAATTCTATTGTTTTTAGTAACACAGTGTTTGTTGTTTTCAACAGTAGCAAGTGTGAGAGGCGAAAAGGAGATACATAAAATAAGAGGGCAGTGTCTATGAGCTGGAGAAACTTAGGAAGAAGATAATAATATTTTGCATATCCTTATTTAAGTGAAAAAGAAAAAACAAAACAAGAACTAACCAATCATTAATAAATAAACTAAATAACTTTAAAAGCCCTCCTTACTGTGCACCATTTCACTCCACTTAAAATATATTTTCCTGACATTGTCTATATTCTAACTTTGTTTATGCCAAATCTGGAAGAGTAAAAACAACTAGAATTAAATTGGACGAATATATAAAGATATTATCTTTTCCTTTTCATCACGAGGTCATGCTATAGGCTGTTTGGTGAGTTGCTGCCTTAGTTAATGTTGTGAGTGGTACACTGGTTTGAAGCTTATGCCTATAATTCAATGATATTAAGCCAAAAATATAGACACATCAAGAGATTTCAAAATTTTTTGTTGAATAGGATGAAAAGATAATATATATATATAAAAGAAAGAAGGAAGGAAGAAAACCAGCCTTGAGGCAAACTAATCTCATTGTCATCTTAAATATGAACCTAAAGTGAAGCTTATGTCCATAATTTGATGATATTAAACCAAAACTATTGACACACAAAATCAGATGATATTGAACAAAAAATACTGACACACCAAGATATTTCAAAATTTTGGTTAAAGAAAAAAAAAATTACGAAAGTACTTTCCTGAAATGGTATACAATTTATACGAGGTCTTCCGTCCAAATCTATTGCATAGATGTGTTGTTTTCATGGATTTGTCAAAATTATGAAATAAGCAGTAGGTGGAAATCTCCAATGCTTTTGTTATTTGCTAATGTTGAAGTAAAAATAAGTACATTCAGTTCCTTCATCTGCTTGTGCATCTCATGTTAACTTGATCTTGAAATCACTTCCACTGTTTGTTGCTCTAGTCAAAATCACTTATGATGATTGCATACAATAATTGTTGTAGGATGAGAAGGATAAAAGGATTCAAGAGTTAACTGCAGAACTACGAATAAAGAAACGTCTAAGTGCAGCATATAAGGAGCAACTACTTATTCTCATGAAAGATGTTGAAAACCATAATGATCATTTGACATCAAAAATACATATCATACGGAATAATCTTACAGAACTTGAAGGAAGAAGGCAGGAATTCTCAGGCAACACCAAACCAAACTTCTAGAGTGAGTAGTGTGTAGCATCTACTGTTTTAAGATTCATGCATAGAGCTATATTCTTTACTCATTTTCCGAAGATTGTATTCAGTTACTAAACTTGGCTTCATTGCAAAGCTTATCCTGATAACAGTGTGATATGTGAATGTGGACATCCTTTCTAGGACATTTTCAGAAATGACCTGATACAAAGAAATGGATATATATATATATATAGAAGAGAGAAGTATATATAGAGAGAGAGAAGTATTAGTAGATAATCTATCTAATAAACAAAATCTAATATCCAATCCTAATTATATTTAGATATGAGCCTATCTAAATTATAAATATAGATAAATCATAACTTTCCCTTTAAGCTGAAGTGTACAAGTTATACAACTCAAGTTTGTTGCAAATGAGCTTGGATTTAGGGCCTCTTAGGGCTTCTCTTGATATATTTTCAAGTTGATCATCTGAAAATACATATTCGGTGTCTATACATCAAGATAACAATTTCTCCCTGATGAAATGACAATTTCTTTAATGTTCTTAGTTCATTCATGAAATATTGTTTCTGATGCAACATGCAGTGTTGCCTGGTTGTCACAACACATTTTTATCTTTGTCAGACCACAACTTCATATTTGTCACTATACAAAATTTGAGATAACAAAGTAATTATTTAACCCAAAGAAGCTCATATGTAGCTAAGGTCATAGCACAATACTCAGCCTCTAGAACGAATAACCACGTCTTGCTTCTTACTCTTCAACAATTTCAAATTTCATTCAACAAACATACAAAACAAGCATTTTTTGGGAGACCCTTTAATATACCGTAAAATATGCAGAAATGCCTTCTAATGAGAGTCGCAAGGAGCTGAAGGAACTGCCTAACCACACTTACTACAAAATGATATATTTTTTCGGGTAATAATAAGATAATTGAGCTTTTCAACCAGCCTTCTATGTCGTCCAACATCAGTTAAGGGCTTCCCTATCTTGGAAGCAAATTCGTATTGAATTGAAACTATAGGAGAATCCACAGGCTTACATTCAGCCATTTTTGTTTCTTCCAATATAGTAAGAACATACTTTCTCTGAGATATAGTAACACAATTATTTGATTGGACAATCTCAATTCCTAAAAAATGTCACAGTGGTTTCAAATCCTTAGTCTGAAAATGGTTGTGCAGGTACGCCTTTAACTGGGTGATGCCGGCCAAATCATCTTTAGTGATGACAATATCATCAATATAGACAACCAAATAATTACAGTGTCCTAAAGTATATTTATATAATACGGTATGATAAGAGGAACAATGTTTTTTCCTAAATTCTTGAACAACAAGATGAAAATGTCCAAACCATGCAGAGATTGTTTCATGCCATGGAGTGAGCAAAGAAGGAGACAAACGAGACCGTACTCCCTCTGAGCAACAAAACCAGGCGGTTGCTCTATATACAGTTCCTCTTAAAGTATACCATACAAGAGATATTTTTTATGTCCAACTAATGAAGAGACCAACTAGGCATAGCCACCAGTACGAGGAAAAAAATAGATAAAAGACATCTTGGCCATGTGAGAAAATTTCCGTATAGCCCTCCTCCCCCCATACACCTGAGTAAAGTCTTTCATGACTAGCCGAGCTTTGAGATGATCAATGCAACCATCCGATCAACTTTGTTCCAAACTTTGAAGGGGTGATTTCTGAACTATTGGGAAAATTTTGTATTCACCGCATAATAGTTACACAATATATAGCTATTACAATTTTCAGCATCTAATTAAACTAATTACATATATGAATCCTCTAATTCTACCGTAATCTTGGTAAATAAATATCTAATTACATATATGAATCATCTAATTCTATATATACAATTATAGCAAGTAAATAAGAATAAAATCCAAAGCTGTAAATTACAGCTTGACATCCCCCCCCCCCAAAAAAAATTGATGCGGGTAAATTAAGAAGCATCAATTTGCCAACAAGAAAGTGATATCACTGACGTGTAACAGACTTAGTGTGGATATCGACAATTTATTGAGTAGTAGAAACATGAGGGAGAGTGATGACAAGGTTGTTGTGGGCCTCACGAATATAGTGACAATCAACTTCTATGTGCTTTGTGCGCTCATGGTAGACTGGATTCGATGCAATTTGGATGGCAATTGTGTTGTTAGCATGTAAAGGGGTTAGTTGGGTTTGGATAAAACCAAGTTATGCGAGAAGACCACGTAATCAAACAATCTCAGAGCAAGCAGCTGACATGGCACATATTCGGCCTCCGTAGATGACTTTGAAACATAACTTGCTTTTTGCATTTCCATGAGATATAGGCATCATCAAGGAACACACACCATCCAGTTGTAGATTTCCTTTTGTCGGGGCATCAAACCCAATTAAAATCACTGTAGGCGAGAAGTTGGAGCAATGACCAATGGAAAAAAACAAGCCACGACTAGGTGTACCCATGAGGTGCCAGAGAATGCACTTAACAGCTGATGTGTACCCATGAGGTGCCAGAGAATGCACTTAACAGCTGATAAGTGGGGATGCCGAGGAGACTGAATGAATTTGCTCACAGTATGGATTGCATAAGCAATATCAGGTCGAGTAATGGTTAGAGAAATAAAACTCCCAACTAGTTGTCGATACAAGGTCGGATCCTCCAAAAGCTCACCTTCATCCTTTCGATATTTCACATTACTTCCATTGGCGTGTCAACTAAAATGGAGTTAGTGAGCTTGGCTAACTCAACCAAATCTTGTATGTACTTGTCTTGGATCAAGAAAATTCCTTGAGGTTGTCTATGTACCTCTAAACCCAAGAAGTGAGTTGGCCGAGGTTTTTTATGTTAAAGGCATAACTCAACAGTTGTTTAATGCGAGCAACGCCTTGCAAAACAAACCCAGTAACCACTATATCATCCACATAGACAAGAACAACAACAATACCATTAAACGTCTTCTGAAGAAAAAGAGAGAAGTCATATTGGTTTTGAGTGTACAAAAAACTGAGCAACGTGGAGTGAAATTTCTCGAACCAAACTCTTAGTGTCTGCTTTAGACCATATAAAGAACGCTTTAATTTGCAAACATCATCTGGTGGAAAAGTCAACATACCATATGGGACTTTCATGTAAACATCTTCTTTGAGCTCCCCATGAAAAAAGATGTTCTTAACATCCATCTGAAACAAAGGCCACGTCAGAGAAGCAGCCAGAGCTAATATGGTTTGCATTGTGGTCATTTTAGCTACTGGGGCAAAGGTTTCTTCGTAGTCGAGGCCATACTCTTGTTTGTTCCCAAGTACCACAAAAGGAGCTTTATAACGTTTGAGAGAACCATCAGAGCGTAACTTGACAGTGATTACAAACTTGCTACCAAGAGGTCGCATTGATGGTGGACATTGCACAACATTCCATGTTTGGTTTTCTTCGAGCGCAAAAAGTTCTACTTCGATTGCTCTTCTCCAACACTCATGTTCCATTGCCTGCTTATAAAATGAGGGAATATGAATAGAGGATAAGGGCTCCGTTAAAGACACATAGGTAGGAAGCCATGCCGATTAGGAGGACGAGTAACCCGAGAACTATGCTTGAGATTGGTAATTTTAGATGTAGTTGCTAGAACAGGATCAGCAGAAGAGGGATCACCAACAAAGGGTTCTGAAGTTGGAGGTTCTGAAGCTGAAAGTGGGATCTGGTGTTGAAGGTGAGATTTGGACAGTCTGATTTGGTTCTGGTGCCGAAGGTGGGATATTTAGATCGGTTGTGGGTGGATTACGTTTCTGATACACAAAGAGGGGCTTTGAGGCTGGACTCATAGGTGCAAGTTCAAGGGAGGCTGAAGGAGTAGATGCATCACTAAGAGAGATAGGGGAAAAAAAAGTGGTGAAGAAATAAAAGATCCATCCTAATGAGTAGTAAAAAATAGTTGATTTTACACAAATACCACATTCCGAGAAACCTGAATATGACGTAAATCAGGATGATAACAAATAAAACCTTTTTGGTAGTATGAATATCCTAGAAAAGCACATCTAACTTATTGAGCTGTGAATTTTGTGCGTTCGTGCCTAGGGAGATGAACATAGCACACACATCCAAACATATGTAGATGAGAATAGTCTGGAAGACAACCAAATAACCGAGTGAAAGGAGAAGTATTGGCCAACAAAGGTGAGGGCAACCTATTGATGTGGTAGACCGCTATAGAGAGAGAGTTTCACACCAGAACCTAGTGGGGACAAAAGATTCTAATAAAAAAGTAAGGGCAATATAAAAAAGGTGGCGGTTTTTCCGTTCAACCACCCCATTTTGTTGAGGTGTTGAAGGACAAGATCTTTGAGAAACTATACTATTGACTCGCAAAAATTCTTAAAATGGCCCAGACATATATTCCCCCATTATCCGATCAAAGTGCTTTGATGTTTATAAAAAATTGGGTTTGGACATACGCATGAAAAAACTTGAAAACAGTAAACACTTCGTCCTTAGAATGTAGGAAATAAATCCATGTGAATCTGCTAAAGTCATCAATGAAGGTGACAAAGTATTTATAATGGGCATGAGAAAGAAATTGTGCCATACCCCACACATCATTGTGTATCAAATCAAAAGGTTTAACCTCATTTAATGTATGTGGGAAATGGTAATGTTTTGCTTTTTCCAAGTCTACAAGAATTGCAATCAGATTTGACACATCGGAGAGATGACAAATTTTTACTCTCAGGTAAACCATATTTGAACAACTAAAAAAGAACCTTATTGTTAGGGTGACCAAAACCGTTATGCCATGTTTGGTGGTCAATATGAGCATATTACAAGACACATGGTAATGAAAGACAAGAAAAAGGAAACTTGATAGGAAAGACATGTCCAACTTTAAGCCCCTCACGATCATCTTTCCTGACTGTTGATCCTGTACAACACAACCAGAATTAGAAAATATCACCTCGCAATTATTGTCAACCAATTGACCAATGGGAATCATATTAGTGGTAAGGCCTAGAGAGACAAAGACATCAGTTAAAGGGGAAATATCACCTATAGATGTAACAGGCAAATGGCTCCCACTAGCGGTTTGGATATCTAGATTTCCATAATACATTTTTACATTGGACAAAAAATCAGACCTAAATGTCATGTGATTGGAGGCTCTTGAGTCAAATTACCAAGTATGTGATTTAGGAAGAGATGT